AGATATGCATAGCTCTGTGATGATGCGCAGTTTGTTACTGCTACTGGTCAGCGACACCGAGTTATAATTTTGAAACCTGTTGTGCAGGCCCTTGGCAGCAAAACGTTGCAGCATTACCTGGCCTTCATACTTAGAGTGGCGACGACATCACAGGTAGCTTTGCTGGTAAAGGAAAGGCCCCTTGGTGGAAGGTATTCAAGGAAGCAGATGAAGAGACCATCACTGCCCTGGCAAACCTTGCTAAGAGGGCCGAGCCAACAGCGGATATCTGACATCGAGAAACTTGTTTGTCAAGTGTACATGCCCTACACTACTATCAACTATATTAAAGAGCTAACATGGTGGCTGTTCCGGAAGAAGCAGGCTCAGTCTGAGACCTTACTACCGACGCAAGAGGCGCTTCGGCAGGCTATCAAGAGAGCCAACTATCACGCATTTGTGTGGAATTTGGAGACCGTGCCTGAATCACAGCTTCCACCACCAGACACCTTGGGCTAGACGTTGGAAGACGACAAATGGGTAAACATTCTCATGGCGACAGCCTCCTGCACCAGAAGCTATCATCCAGGAGGTAAAGTGTGGCCATGTAAAGAGCCGATGTTCATCAAGTAGGTGCAACTGCCGGAAAGCCGGACTCAAGTGCACCGACCTGTGCAGCTGTGCTGATTATGACGATCTGTGCGATAACGGACTAATTGATGATGTTAGTTCTGAATTACAATTATTGTATTATAGGGACTCTGTGTTAACTTACCAATTTTTAATGGGCCTCGCACCTAAACATCTGGTAGATAAACTTACTAAACGCTTCAGCATCCATGCTGGCCACACCCGCAAGCGTGATTTATTACATAAACCATTGTATAGAACTGCTTCTGGCCAACGCACATTCGCATATAGAGGAACTAGTATTTGGAACAATTTAGATAATGACATAAAGCAATGCGTTACCTTGCAGTCTTTCAAGCAAGCTATAAAAGGGCAACTTTTGGAGCAAGTCGTTTCATAGTTTTTTTTTACGAATTCTTATTTTCTTATAATTATTCTTATAACTTAAGCAGTTTAGTATTCAACTTATTCATGTCATTGTAAATAGTGTCTGAAAAACCTTTTGAGGACGATTCTATTAAAGTTCTATTCTATTCTATTCTAATACGAAGATATGGAATAGGAGTGATGACAGTGACAGTTAGACTGATCGTTGATTACATTATGACAGATGTACACAATCTTACCAGTTAAAGTACTTTTAGACTATTAACATTACAAGCATATGACCAGCAGAGCCAGTTTTGGTCTTTCTGTTTTTTTTGTAAAATGTTGTGAAGAACAAGCAAGCTTTCCTTAAGATCCTTAACTTTTTTTCCATTCTTGCTTTACCACGTCACCATGTCAACGACCTAAATGGTCTGGAATAATCTAGAAACTTGTCACTCACATGGGTTAGGTAATTTTCCACAAAAAAAACTGCTTTCTTGGTTGTATAGTCTGAGCCTAGTTTTCATGCTATTTTTTTCACGTTCTCATGCATAGAAAAAAGAACTGCAGAATATCATTAAAATAATTGAGGAACATTATCTCATCAGTATTGGAGTAATTTCATTTAAATACTGTAGTGGACAGTTACAGCCTTGGAACCTCGTTTCCATACAAGCTTTACCACATGACCATTCTGAAAATCCGGTAGAGTTTTATATCGTTCAAGCAATTGAGGCACATGATCTATGCAATTTTGGAGCAATTTCATCCAAACAGTGGAAAGTTATAGCCATTTCTGTTTCAGAGCCTCGTTTTTATGTTGGCGAATTACGCCATGTTTTTAAATCCCTATTAAACAGATCGAAGTAAGTTTCGAAGGTGCCACCAAAATGTTTTACGTTCTTCGGGGTGCCCTTAATATATTTGGATGGGCGGTTTGCTTGCAGCCTGAAATTCCCACGGGAGTACATTTGCTCCCTGACTACCACCAAGGGTGGTCGCTTACTAGAGACTTGACTTTACACGTACTGGTATCACTTTTACACATAGTGAACTAAATAAATAAATAAATAAATAAATAAATAAATAAATAAATAAATGAGTTAAAAAAAGTATTATCAGTTACCGCTTTTTTTAGACTCTGCCAGAAGGACTGATCATCTTCATTGCACTCTTTATTTATGATGGTGAGAGTTAAGTTTATCACCTTGGCTCCGATCACTTGAGGGAATTAATAAAAAAAATATGTTAATAAGTACTTAATAAAATAGAACCATATGATCAATACAACTTAATCTTAAGTTTAAAAACGCATTTTATGAATATTTTACGACCCATAAGGTCGTCAGGACAAACAGGTTGACTGTTTTTCAGTAAAGGTAAATAAGGAATAAAAAAGGCCCTCTTAAGGTAAAAGTCCGACTAGCGACATGACCTTGAAACAGCAACATAGGACAGCAGAAATCGCGACAAACGACACAAAGATGGGTAGAAACTGCGACAGCGACAACGAGAAACACAATAGAAATATACCGACAGCGACATGGCCTCCTCGTCAATGCGCAAAACAACAGGTTTTGAAATTCGGGCCTAAAAGGGCCTCATGAAAAAGCCATTCGGTGTTTAGATAGACAACTCTCAGTGATAAAAGTGAATTTAATTCCATTCCGACCATACCTAAGAAAAATAAAACAATACTCGTCGTCTCGGGCAATAAGAGAAGACTGCAGGTTCCATCGATTGGTTGAAGGAATGCACTCAGTTGTTGTGACGTTATTAAAAGTGACACTTTATCTGAGGTTTCTAGAGCTGTATTAATTCCACAAAACTTCTGCTCGACTTGCCCAAAGTACAAATCTCAAAATAACAAGCTCACAGGAATAAATCTGCAGTTTAGATTGGACCATATTTTCGAAATAACAAGTACGTAGACAGTGCGAATCCCAGGTTCTGAGTTTTACGCAACACTAGTGCTGCTAACAATACAATGCATTTCTTTCAAGAAAATTTCAGATATGATAAAACAGTTCCGAACTTTGTACTGAAACACATTTGAATTGAAAGCTTTAAAGTTACACCACACAAGAAAAAACAAACAAATGACATTTTCTGTATTTTTGCTGCAGCAGCCCCCTCACCTGGGCCCAAAAGTGATATTGACAGTTATACAATCAAAGAGGTCAAGGAAACAGTGTTAATCGGCTGGCGTGTAAAGGGATGGTGTGTGTTTTGGGAGGGTGGGGGTTGAGGACGCACGGCATACTGTTAACGTTTTTTTAACGTGAAAATAATTTGGCTTTTAAAGGATAAGGCAAAAGAATTTCAACAAAAATTGTTCTAACAAGGCGGAAAATACTTAACGACTAATAAAATGGAGTTGAAAAGTACAAAAGAATTTCAAAAAAATTGTTCTAACAAAACGGAAAATACTTAATGGCCAATAAAATGGAGTTGTAAGGTACAAAAAAATTTCCGAAAATTTGTTCTAACAAAGCGGAAAATACTTAATGGCCAATAAAATTGAGTTGTAAGGTACTCTTTAACACAACGGTCTGGTGCATGCTCCCCCCCGCCCCCCCACCCTCTAACCAAAAGAAATGAAATCCAGATATTGGGAAATGCAAGTTTGAAAACTTAGGTTAAATGAAGGTCAAGCAATGCTCCTTGGTGATGTCTACCAACAAAAATGCCAGGGATCCATTAATGACAATTAACAAATTGACATCAGGTTTAAATCTGTCTGTCCTTTCATTGCTGATAAAATTTCCTCATAACCATAAAAAAAATGCCAATCTTGTTGATTCACAATACTTTGTCAAAGTTATGGAGTAGTATTCTCATTAATGGGAGGAGAAAATGGTGTCAATCTTAAACCTGACAAAAAATCGTGCATAGAAAGCTGGCACAAATGAATATTTTTCTGAATGGTTCCGACCATGAACGTGATAGTAACGGGTCTGACAAGAAGCGACATGTCCATATATGGGGTAGTAAAACCTGAAAACTTTATAAGTCGTACGAGACATCACACACATTTTCTTGAGTATTACATGGAGTCCAAGTTATTGTAGGTATGGGGTATCCATCAACCTTGCAGTCAAGCGACACACTTTTTTCTCTCCCAACATAATACTTGTTTTGAAGAGTGATATTTGGAGGAACTAAGATGAAAAACAGTACACGTGTCAGAGACATAAGTGTCTTTCAGCTAAAAGATAAGCAACCCATGATTGTGAAAGCATGAAAGCACTGAAATGTATAATTTTTTTCAGGCAAAGTTATGTAAAGGCTTCAAGTTATAGTGTACTACTACATGTATGATATTTACGATGCGTATTATACACGGATTCCATTGTTTGGTCAAGAAAACATAAGAAGACAAAAGCTTTGCAGTAATTGGAGTTTAATAAACACAACAAAGTAAACTACAAATGAACTATTTTCAATTTTGATCCATGAATTTGTTTTTAACCAAGGGGACTAATAGAATTCAAGAGCTCTGCGTATCTTCGTTAGTTTTAAACCAAGACCCAGATACAATTGTAGGTTTCTGTAATACAGGACGTATTTTTCTTTGTTGTTTAAGGTTGGAATCAGTTTTTGTACTTGTCCAATGGTAATACCATATTTTTGTCTGATTGTTTCAGGTAATATGTCAAAAACTCTACAGAGCTTGCTTGATCTCCCGCCTTGTAGTAATGTAATACAGTGTTAAATCTAGAAATTGGTCAAAGTGGGTCATATGCCCCACATGACCTTTTAAATTGCCCCCGGCAGGGCTCAAAGTTAACGACTAACTGGTCGCATACGCGACTGGATTTTTGGTTGTGCGCCTAAAAATTCATGTGTACTCGCACCTGTGCGCCATAAAACCCAAAGCGCAGTGCGACTTGCTTGCTTCCCTCACTAACCTGACCATACTTACCTATTAGAACTAGTACGACTTTAAACAGTAGCTTCAAGAAATGAAAGTAAAAGTCATGTAGAAATAGCACAACCAGGCTCTAAATAATTAAGTTAAA